TGTGAGCAACCATGTTCAGGTTGCCTTGTTTGAAAATTAATACCTTACACATTAAAACGTTTTCTGGTTCAAATATCTGGTGACCTTGGAATATTTATAGATATTTGTAGATAAGATTTCCAAGGAATTCATCAGGCAAACTATGTGTTTATGTTTTTCCCGCTGATATCAGCTATGACCCAAGTACAACCTTTACACTCATTTAGCTATGCCGGCCCATATGCTTCACTCATGTTTCTTTTGTGTAGGAACCTTTGATAAAACCTAGACTTGCACCGGGCTGCTTCGCTCATGTTTCTTTTGTGTAGCAACCTTTGATAAAACCTGAACTTGCAGCGGGCTGCTTCCCTCATGTTTCTTTTGTGTAGGAACCTTTGATAAAACCTAGACTTGCACCAGGCTGCTTCATCTTGTCCAGGCGGCTTTGTGTTCGTTGTTTTTATACATGATTCAGCCGTGGTGTTGTAACATTGTAATCTTCCCAAATCATTTCCTTGATTTATGAACGGTGTAAATACACTTTGTGTCACACTTCTATGTGTCCAGATGGTTCAGATTGGTGGTGGTGTGTGTGTGTGATAGTGGTGGTGTCCATTCAACTTCTTGTTTCAGCTTGTCAGTGGTGCTTCACTTGTGTCACACTCACGTCACGCGTCTTTCACCCACATGTTACCTTCCCAGAAGATTGTGTTACGACACAAGTTTTTGACAGTCTTGTTTCACAGTTAATGTTGAAAAGCGCAATTAAATAATATGTGCAGGCTTACACCACAAATCACTTTCCATAGAAACTACAAAACACACTGAGCTTGTAATAGGTTAAACAATGCTACATTCTTCATTGTACTATATTAACTCTTTCAACACCAGTCTACCAGAGGCTTTTACTACCATGACACTGAGTTCCCATAGGCTCTGAGGTCATAGATGGGCCTATGTTTATCAAGGAAAATATCAGCTTGTAAAACATTATTGCTACTACATATCATACACCATTTGAAAGGTCTTATCCTACTGTTCATCAATATGAAATTTATTTTTGATCATATTATTCAAATAATCCAACTACAACATAAATAATTTTTAATGAAACAGCAAGCTTAAAAATGTATAATGTCCAGATAAACCATGAAGGGAGCAAAAAATATGGCAATTTTTTCCATTTGTTACGTGTCATAATATCCCCTTACCTTTTTCTTCTATATTTTCATTTTTTACGTAATCAGAAAATTATTTTAAAATAGATTTCTCAAATAATATGTATGGTCGTCTATTTCCCGATATCAGTGACTTTCCGCTCGGTAACGTGATACAACAGCGGGAAATACCTTGGTTTTCGAAGCTTTGTATGAATAACATGTGAGGCGATTCGTTTGAAGGCGGGTATCGTTCGAAAGCTCTGAACATCAACAATATCACTGTACCCTTGCCCAGAGTATTTTCACAGTCGTAAGAAGTGATTTTATTGGATAAAAATTGGTTTCTAATGACATTTTTGCCACAGTCTGATATAAGCATTGTGATTGGTCAAAATCGTACACGTGACCTAAGGCAGCCAATCATATTACAGCAATGGATACCGTCCTCGTAAACGAAAACTAATGATTCAGACGAAACTTTTGGGTAAAATCATGCTATTCTGAACGTGTTACGCAATAAATCACCACCTATACGTATATTATGGAACTTGGTGGGCGTATCGTGCTAGGTTATGACCTGTGACAAAAATGCTTCATGCATATATTTTAACATTAAACATCGTGTCCGAGCGTGAAGTTCGAGGCGACGAAAGCCGAGATGTCACTTGCATTACAATACACGATCGCTCCAAAAGATGGAAATAGTAAGTTATAATGTACGTTTGACAACTTTTATGAGTACTGTTGTGGATTTTATTCTTCAGTTTATTCAGTTTGTTTAATTATTTTGTCGAAACATCGTTACTTTGCTCTTTGACAACTTTACTGTGGACCCTTGCCGAAGCATGTGTCCGAGAATTGTTTTTTTCAATAACATTGTGAAAAACAGTTTATAATTCTAATCCTGTCGATAATATATGGACATTTGAAATGTATTTGATAAGCTTTTTCAGACATTGTGAAAAGTGATAGATTTAATAAAAAAATCATATGTTAGTTAGGTTCCCAAAATTATAGATCATTTTGATGCGACTACTGCCTGGCCGGTAAACCGGCCTACGGTGTCTGGGGACTCGTGACGTCTTGGCCGGTTTTCCGGCCTACGGTGTTGAATGGGTTAAAGAAATACATTTAAAAGAAGATTCATTTATGAAGTGCTGTTACCATGTCTATACTATGTGTTGTTACCCTGACTATACTATGTGCTGTTGCCTTGACTATACTATGTGTTGTTACCCTGACTATACTATGTGTTGTTACCATGACTATACTATGTGCTGTTGCCTTGACTATACTATGTGCTGTTACCATGACTATACAATGGTAACACGGTTTGACTGCATTGCCTGTGGTCTGTCCAGCAGATCTGGATGGACCTCCTGCACCACGGTTTGACTGTATTGCCTGTGGTCTGTCCAGCCGATCTGGATGGACCTCCTGCAACACGGTTTGACTGTATTGCCTGTGGTCTGTCCAGCCGATCTGGATGGACCTCCTGCACCACGGTTTGACTGTATTGCCTGTGGTCTGTCCAGCAGATCAGGATGGACCTCCTGCAGCACGGTTTGACTGTATTGCCTGTGGTCTGTCCTGCAGATGTGGATGGACCTCCTGCAACACGGTTTGACTGTATTGCCTGTGGTCTGTCCTGCAGATGTGGATGGACCTCCTGCAGCACGGTTTGACTGTATTGTCTGTGGTCTGTCTAGCAGATCAGGATGGACCTCCTGCAACACGGTTTGACTGTATTGTCTGTGGTCTGTCTAGCAGATCTGGATGGACCTCCTGCAACACGGTTTGACTGTATTGCCTGTGGTCTGTCCAGCAGATCTGGATGGACCTCCTGCACCACGGTTTGACTGTATTGCCTGTGGTCTGTCTAGCAGATGTGGATGGACCTCCTGCACCACGGTTTGACTGTATTGCCTGTGGTCTGTCCAGCCGATCTGGATGGACCTCCTGCACCACGGTTTGACTGTATTGCCTGTGGTCTGTCCAGCCGATCTGGATGGACCTCCTGCAGCACGGTTTGACTGTATTGCCTGTGGTCTGTCCAGCAGATCTGGATGGACCTCCTGCACCATTGCCTGTGGTCTGTCCAGCAGTTTGACTGTATTGCCTGTGGTCTGTCCAGCAGATCTGGATGGACCTCCTGCAGCACGGTTTGACTGCATTGCCTGTGGTCTGTCCAGCAGATCAGGATGGACCTCCTGCACCATGGTTTGACTGTATTGCCTGTGGTCTGTCCAGCCGATCTGGATGGACCTCCTGCAGCACGGTTTGACTGTATTGTCCAATTGCTCTGCCTGTAGTTCTTGCTGGATCAATGTGTTTTCACTATGTTGTCTTGTTCAGCAGCTGTTTGTTTAGCATAATTTTAGTGTATTATCTATGCTCAGCCTTGTATGTCTCTAACACTCACTGCATTGCCTATGCTCTGGGTCCCCGACACAGTTTCGCTGTATAGGATATCTTAACATTACTCCAATTCACTGATCACACTAGGGACCGTCTCATCCTTGCGATAACATAAGACATTTCATTTGCTTCTCAAGTCTATCTGACAAGCTGATTCCCCTGGTTAGAAACCTCTTAATTACAAGTGACAGGTAATCTATCTTGCTGCCCAGTGGACGGAACACCAGGGGTCAGACAGCCATAGCAATGGGTTATTAATACAGATTTGATTATAAGTGGATCAAACCTAGCAATTATGAAAGTAATGACTTACACACTTATCCATATACAGAGTTACACACTCACATATACATTGACACACTGTCAGTTATACACTGGCACACACTGTTATACACTGGCAAACACTGTTACTCCGATATATTACATTGAAACACTGTCAGTTGTACACTGGCACACACTGTTACTCCGATATATTATATTGACATGCTGTCAGTAATACACTGGCACACACTGTTACTCCGATATATTATATTGACATGCTGTCAGTAATACACTGGCACACACTGTTACTCCGATATATTATATTGACACGCTGTCAGTTATACACTGGCACACACTGTTACTCGATATTACATTGACACGCTGTCAGTTATACACTGGTACACAGTTGCACTGTTACACCTCAGATATATGTCGACACACACTTGCATACACTGGCACACACTGTTATACACTGGCGCACACAGTTACACACTGGCACACACTGTTGATATAAGTTACTTGTGAGTTGTAAAGGGAATGAGGGGTGGTGGTGGTATAGGGGTGGTGGTATGACGGAGTTAGTGGGTGTGTGTGTGGTATGAGGAGTGGTGGTTGCATGAAGGGGTGGTGGTTCTGTGAGAGGGGTTGGCATGAGGGGTATGAAGGAAGGTGCCATGAGGGTTGAGAACTGAATCATACCCCCATAATTTTGGAATGTGGTGTCTTACTCCCTCATTCAATATTTTTAAAATATCAGAAATTTGCCACAACAGTACAATAACTGTTTTTCTGTATTGGACATATTTCTTTCTTCCTTTGAGTTTTCTGAGAATGTATTTGGTCTTGTCATTCATATAGATTACTTTGGCTGGACATGGCCCCCAGAAAATGAAAGGGTGATGGAGTTGATGCCACGTGTCCAGTGAGACATGTGTGGGAGTGTACTTGATAAGCTTCTGTACATGGAAATGCTTCAAGCTTGGATTCATTTAATACAACCATGTTTCACACTCCATTTTCTCTGGCGTGAAAGAAACCACTCTCGCACAAATATAAGGTCAGCTGTGGTAGTTAGGTCTTTGTATAACCCTGCCATGGCTACATCACTGATTACAATGATGCCTCAATACCAAAGTCTCTTTGTAGCAGCACATTAAAAACATAAAACTTTGTGTGTTGCAGATCCTCCTGGTGACAAGCAGCCGTCATCGAGATCGGTGGGTGGTTCCAGGAGGCGGCATCGAGCCAGAGGAGGAGACGAAGATTGCTGCATCCCGCGAGGCCAGGGAGGAAGCAGGTGTCCTGGGGCAGCTTGGCCGACACCTGGGCAACTTCGAGGTAAGTAGATTCCGGTGGAGGCAGAACTGCTGTACAGATTGTGGTGGCAGGGTGTCGCCATTTACACTCTTTAGTCACAGGAGGAGAGACAGTGGTATAGGGTCATGGAAACAATGAGCATAGTAGGTGTTGTGAGCATAGAGGGTGTGATGGATGTGGTGAACATAGAAGGCTATGGATACGGTGATCATGAAGGGCACATCGTAGACATGGAGCATAGAGAGTGCTAAAGATACAATGTGCAAGGTGTGAGGTATCAAGTGAGCATAGAGGTAGTGAGGGATAGAAAGAGCATACGGGTAGTGAGGGATAGAAAGAGCATAGGGGTAGTGAGGGATAGAGCAAGTATAGAGGGTGTGAAGGATAGAAAGAGCATAGGGGTAGTGAGGGATAGAGCAAGTATAGAGGGTGTGAGGGATAGAAAGAGCATAGGGGTAGTGAGGGATAGAGCAAGCATAGAGGGTGTGAAGGATAGAGTGCGCACAGAGGTAGTGAGGGATAGACTGAACATAGAGGGTGTGAGGGATAGTGAGCAAGGAGGGTGCAAGGATAGAGTGAGCATAGAGGGTGTAAGAGATAGAGTGAGCATAGAGGTAGTGAGGGACAGACTGAACATAGAGGGTGCGAGGGATAGTGAGCAATGAGGGTTTGAGGGACAGAGTGAGCATAGAGGGTGTAAGAGATAGAGTGAGCATAGAACATGTAAGTTCTAAAGGAAACTGATAGGTGTACAAGGGAGATGGTGAACATGGAGGAAAGAAAAAATTCAGTAAGGCTAGAGGGTCTTTGGGAATATTGCTGACCAATCCACATAAACACCCACCCACCCAAACTCATACACCTTACCACCCACACTCTGCCACACACAGAGACCCACATACTGACCACACACACACACACACACACACACCCATCCACACACACAGACCTACACACCCACCCATCCACACACACAGACCTACACACCCACCCATCCACACACACAGACCTACACACCCACCCATCCACACACAAATCTTACACACCCACCCATCCACACACACACAGACCTACACACCCACCCATCCACACAGATCTTACAGACCCACCCATCCACACACAGATCTTACACACACACCCATCCACACACACAGACCTACACACCCACCCATCCACACACAGACCTACACACCCACCCATCCACACACACAGACCTACACACCCACCCATCCACACACTCAGACCTACACACCCAACCATCCACACACAAACCAACACATCCACCCATCCACACACAGACCTACACACCCACCCATCCACACACAGACCTACACACCCACCCATCCACACACACAGACCTACACACCCACCCATCCACACACAGACCTACACACCCACCCATCCACACACAGACCTACACACCCACCCATCCACACACACACACACACACACACACACACACACACACACACACACACACACACACATAGATCTTACACACCCACCCATCCACACACACAGACCTACACACCCACCCATCCACACACAGAGATCTTACACACCCACCCATCCACACACAAACCAACACACCCACCCATCCACACACACAGACCTACACCCACTCTGCCACACACAAACCGATCCACTGACCAAGACAGAGACTCACACCAACCCGTCCACGCACTCACCCAAACCCACAAACCCGACTTGCACACCAAAACCCACACCAACCTCCTGCCAAGAAAGCAGCTACCATCCACTCGCTGATCACCCACCAACCTCTGCTTTCCCCTCAGTTGTAGAGATAAGACTCTCCTCACTCTCTCTTCCAGAATGAAGCTAAGAAACACCGCACCTCCGTGTATACATTTGTTGTGACAGATTTGTTGGACGAGTGGGAGGATTCCAAAAGCATGGGTAAGTTCCTCTGTTTTCATGATGAATATGGGTGGTGATGTCTCTGCTTGGTGATGTCTGCATGTGGTGATGTCTGCATGTGGTGACGTCTGGATGTGGTGATGTCTGGATGTGGTGATGTCTGCCTGATGCGATGTCTGGATGTGGTGATGTGGTGATGTCTGCCTGGTGTGATGTCTGGATGTGGTGATGTCTGGATGTGGTGATGTTTCTGTGATGTCTGCCTTTGGAGATGCCTCCATGTGATGTTTTTCATTTGGAATATCTCTGTGGTCTTCTACACATCATACTGAGGGGGAAGCTGGAAGTAAAACATAAACCATATTAGTGGATAAATTGATTCATTACATGTTGCTAATGGCTGTGCCATTTACACAAGGCATGTGAGAGCCATGAAAGTAACAATATTAGGATCTCATGAAGTAGTATTGCATTAAGTTAATTTAGCCTAATTACAGTTTAACTTGTTGAAGCGTCAGTGAGTGACATGTTTCATTACGTTGACTCGCGTGAGCGTGTGTGATTTCAGTCATTACTCCTCCAACACCCATCATGACCTCCCTGATACTCACTACAGTTGAACATGTTGGCCATTGATTTGAAGTTTCACCCACCGCACAGACTGCCTGCAGCAGCAGCAGCGATGCCCCTGGTGCTGGTGATGTTGTAAGGCAGCAGCTTTGTGATGAGGACAGAAATGACTTTCAATGTCATTGTCTGTGGCACGATGTGTTTGAATCTGAAGCCAGACATATTGGAAAAAATTTAACATAATTGCCAAACTATTGACTCACGACACCATAGGCGTGTTTACCACTCCAGTCCCCTGACATTTGCAAATTAGAAATTCCTTAATGGTTGCTCCGAAGATGCAGTGGATGTGGATGGTCATCACCATAACGAGCATGTGATGGAATCAGAATTCTTCAAGTGTGTGTTGGCGTCCAGCATGGTGTGAAATAATACAGATATGACATGTTTTAGAAACACTAACAGTAATATGTGGCTGCTTGCTAGGGGACCTGTTTTTTCTGAACCATGTCTTAAGGAATCCATGACACAAAAACAACTGGACAACACTTGTTGAGAAGATGCCTTGGGGACAGTGTGCACTGCCGTAAATCCTGCGGTAAAAGCTGACTGGGGTTTGAGAATCAATTAAATGCTAAACTGAAATAGTGGCCTTTCCACATTTTGAGCTGCTCTGTGCAGTCCTTTGCATGATCTTCTAAAACTTACAGACGTTTATGCTCCATATTTCTCCCTTGATTGACATACTGTGATATAGCCAATATGCTACCTTTATTGACATAGTACTTTGATATAATATATATTCTCCCTTGATTGACATACTGTGATATAGCCAATATACTCCCTTGATTGACATACTGTGATATAGCCAATATACTCCCTTGATTGACATACTGTGATATAGCCAATATACTCCCTAAGGTAACAAACTGTGATATAGCCAATATACTCCCTCAGGTAACACACTGTGATATAGCCAATATACTCCCTCGGGTAACACACTGTGATATGCCAATATACTCCCTTGATTGACATACTGTGATATAGCCAATATACTCCCTCAGGTAACACACTGTGATATAGCCAATATACTCCCTCAGGTAACACACTGTGATATAGCCAATATACTCCCTTGATTGACATACTGTGATATAGCCAATACTCCCTCCCTCAGGTAGCCACACTGTGATATAGCCAATATACTCCCTCAGGTAATGCACTGTGATATTGCTAATATACTCCCTTGATTGACATACTGTGATATAGCCAATATACTCCCTAAGATTAACATACACTGTGATATAGCCAATATACTCCCTCAGGTAACACACTGTGATATAGCCAATATACTCCCTTGATTAACATACTGTGATATTGCTAATATACTCCCTTGATTGACATACTGTGATATAGCCAATATACTCCCTAAAGTAACACACTGTCATATAGCCAATATACTCCCTAAGGTAACATATTGTGATATTGCTAATATACTCCCTTGATTGACATACTGTGATATAGCTAATATATTCCCTAAGGTAACACACTTTGATATAGCCAATATACTCCCTAAGATAACATACTGTGATATAGCCAATATACTCCCTCGGGTAACACTCTGTGATATAGCCAATATACTCCCTCGGGTAACGCACTGTGATATAGCCAATATGCTCCCTTGATTGTCATACTGTGATTTAGTCAATATTCTCCCTCGGGTAACGCACTGTGATATAGCCAATATACTGCCTTGATTGACATACTGTGATATAGCCAATATGCTCCCTTGATTGTCATACTGTGATTTAGTCAATATTCTCCCTCGGGTGACATACTGTGATATAGCCAATATACTCCCTAAGGTAACACACTGTGATATAGCCAATATACTCCCTTGATTGACATACTGTGATATAGCCAATATACTCCCTTGATTGACATACTGTGATATAGCCAATATACTCCCTTGATTGACATACTGTGATATAGCCAATATACTCCCTCGGGTAACACACTGTGATATAGCCAATATACTCCTTTGATTGACATACTGTGATATAGCCAATATATTCCCTTGATTGACATACTGTGATATAGCCAATATACTCCCTTGATACAGCTTGACACCTTTGCTTTTATAGCACAGACACTTCCCAGTCAAACATCATGACAGTGTAAGTCCATATATGACAGGCATTAAAAATGTGGATGACACCCTGACCCTTCCTGGTCACATATGATGACAGTGTATGTCCATGTATGACATTGCCACATCCTTAGTAAGTTGTAAGAGACCTAAAACGGACAGTGAACTAAGCCTTGCTTGTGTTGTCCTACCTGTCAGTATTGTCACTCCACGCCAATGATTGTGTGTAACAGATGGGACAGCCATCTACAGCTCTCTCTCTCAGCTCTGTCTTTTCGGGGCGGTGGGGTAGCCCAGTGGTTAAAGCGTTCGCTAGTCACGCTGAAAACCCACGTTCAATTCCCCACATGGGTACTATGTGTGAAGCCCATTTCTGGTGTCCCCAGCAGTCATATTGCTGGAGTATTGCTTGTAAAAGCGGCGTAAAACCATACTCACTCACTCACTCACACTCACTCACTCACTCACTCACTCACTCACTCACTCTATATCTTTTCAAGTACATCCAGATTTGGTATAATGGTTATCAATGACATGAAAATGTTATCTTGAAAGATTATATCACTATTGAAGCTTTGAAATGGTTCAGTGGAATTCCTGAATATCAACGTATTGTTTGGTGGTTGCCATATTTGGCAGATGATTTTTTGATCAGACTATTGATGTTTCCAAGCAGTGTTTTTCTTGCATAATAATTGAAGAATTATGTTGTTTTGGTTGATTGGAGCTACCCACAGCATAACTGTGGAGTTTATTCAACTGGAACAAGGAGTGCCAATATTTACACTTCAAGTCCATTGATCAGTGGAGTTTATCGGAGGACGTACTCTCAGTTTGCGATCTCATTAGCAAGAATATCGCTTTATGATGCTTCCTGTACACACTTCCACTGAGCAGAAGGGCATTGTGGGATATTGGGAGGCACCTCTTACAGGCTAGCGGGAAATTAAGTCGAGTATGATTGATTGAGCAAATGGCACTGCTTATACACAGGGGAAAATGGTGATATTCTAATATCTTGTATGACTAGACATGCAGGTCATCTCTCATGAAAGAGGCTGGATAGTCATCTATGGTGGCAGTTGAGTGTGAGGTTATATGTGTTCCTGTGTGTGGTACAGGCTGGATAGTCATCTACCGTAGATTAATCTACAAATTTGTGTATGTTTTACTTACTTTGAGAAAATGTCCTGAACCATGATGAACTATTTGTGTAGTTGTCCTCAGGACCAGACATACAGCTACTTTGATGTGCCTTACAAACACCACAATGTTGGGACACATGATGATGAGCTTACACTCATGAAGTGGTCACTGGAGGAGAAACTTGTGAAGTAAGGCGAGCTGACTTGGCTCAGCTGGGGGTCTTTCTCGGCTGTTGTTTACCTCCAGATCTTCTGACATGACATACAGGCCCTTTAGTCAGGGTGGAACACAGTTGACATGCATATGTAGCCTGTAAACCACACTGGAATCACAGCTTGATATGTGAAAGCTGTTTGTGTATCAAATGACCTGTTTCTCCAATTCTTAACACTTTACATTTGATGTACCTGAGAACCATATAAATAATGAATTCAATGAATTGCTAATTAGTTGCTAGGAAAGCAGCTTCAAAGACGGGTGTTCAGCTAGTGAGCAGTTGCCAGTTTATTGTGTTGGTTACAGCCCTTCAATCTGCCGTGATACGCAGATTAGACACGGTCTGTAGATGGTGTTGCATTGATGTAGAGGAGGCAGTTGTATCCAGTCATTACTATCGTCTGCAGAGTGTGTAATTGATCTGTCTGATAAAGAGGAGGCTGTAGGATATTGCCATGGAAGCTTGCTGAATACCTAGTTGACTAAGTTTCTGTAGAGAAAGGCAGCATTGGTGGGGGGTGTTGGTTATTTGTAGTGTAGAAATATTGCTTTTACATAATTTATCCACAAATGTTGATGACTTCATGGCTCGCCAGTCTGTGTGGATGACACTGTGTGCTCTATTGATGGCTTACATCTTATGCTATATCCTGCCAAATGAGGAACGACCTGTGTTGGAGTCTCTGGCACATATCTTGTGTGGGTGATGTGTGTGTGTTGAAAGGCCTGTTGAAGTCTCTGGCACACAGCTGGTGTAGGGGATGTGTGTGTTGAAAGGCCTGTTGAAGTCTCTGACATACAGCCAGTGTGGGGGATGTATTTGTTGAAAGGCCTGTTGGAGTCTCTGGCACACAGCTAGTGTAGGGGATGTGTGTGTGTTGAAAGGCCTGTTGGAGTCTCTGGCACACAGCTAGTGTGGGGGATGTGTGTGTTGAAAGGCCTGTTGGAGTCTCTGGCATACAGCTAGCGTGGGGGATGTGTGTGTTGAAAGGCCTGTTGGAGTCTCTGGCACACAGCTAGTGTGGGGGATGTATGTGTTGAAAGGCCTGTTGGAGTCTCTGGCATACAGCTAGTGTGGGGGATTGTGTGTGTTGAAAGGCCTGTTGGAGTCTCTAGTGTGGGGGATGTGTGTGTTGAAAGGCCTGTTGAAGTCTCTGTCACACAACTAGTGTGGGGGATGTGTGTGTTGAAAGGCCTGTTGTAGTCTCTGGCATACAGCTAGTGTGGGGGATGTGTGTGTTGAAAGGCCTGTTGGAGTCTCTGGCACACAGCTAGTGTGGGGGATGTGTGTGTTGAAAGGCCTGTTGGAGTCTCTGGCATACAGCTAGTGTGGGGGATTGTGTGTGTTGAAAGGCCTGTTGGAGTCTCTAGTGTGGGGGATGTGTGTGTTGAAAGGCCTGTTGTAGTCTCTGGCATACAGCTAGTTCGGGGGATGTGTGTGTTGAAAGGCCTGTTGTAGTCTCTGGCATACAGCTAGTGTGGGGGATGTGTGTGTGTTGAAAGGCCTGTTGGAGTCTGTGGCATACAGTCTCTGGGTGTAGGGGATGTATTGCTGTGTTGAAAGGCCTGTTGGAGTCTGTGGCACACAGCTAGTGTGGGGATGTGTGTGTTAAAAGGCCTGTTGGAGTCTCTGGCATACAGCCGGTGTAGGGGATGTATTCGTTGAAAGGCCTGTTGGAGTCTGTGGCACACAGCTAGTGTGGGGGATGTGTGTGTTAAAAGGCCTGTTGTAGTCTCTGGCATACAGCTAGTGTGGGGGATGTGTGTGTTGAAAGGCCTGTTGGAGTCTGTGGCACACAGCTAGTGTGGGGGATGTGTGTGTTAAAAGGCCTGTTGTAGTCTCTGGCATACAGCCGGTGTAGGGGATGTATTCGTTGAAAGGCCTGTTGGAGTCTGTGGCACACAGCTAGTGTGGGGGATGTGTGTGTTAAAAGGCCTGTTGTAGTCTCTGGCATACAGCTGGTGTGGGGGATGTGTGTGTTGAAAGGCCTGTTGGAGTCTCTGGCATACAGCTAGTGTGGGGGATGTGTGTGTTAAAAGGCCTGTTGGAGTCTCTGGCACACAGCTAGTGTAGGGGATGTGTGTGTTAAAAGGCCTGTTGGAGTCTCTGGCATACAGCCTAGTGTGGGGGATGTGTGTGTTGAAAGGCCTGTTGGAGTCTCTGGCACACAGCTAGTGTGGGGGATGTGTGTGTTGAAAGGCCTGTTGGAGTCTCTGGCACACAGCTAGTGTAGGGGATGTGTGTGTTGAAAGCAGTGATGAAAAATACTTGCTTAACTCCACTTGAAATGTAGTAGTAGTATGTATGAGTAGTGAAAGGCTGCAGGACTTGTCAGTGGTGTTAGGTTTCCATATCATGCCGGTAAATTATAACAGAATACTACAAAACTCATGTCGTTCAAGTTCCGTCATATGAAAAAGTATTTACTGGGATGTCCTTGAATGATAGAGATATCCCTATGAAATGCTGAGTAGTATATGTGTTACACTCCACACTGGAATTTATGCGTTAGAATGGGTCATGATATTGCTGGAATATTGCTAACAGCAGCGTAAAACCCGCCCCTGCACCTGGGTTCCGGCACCTGGGATCCAGCACCTGGGATCCGGCACCTGGGTTCCGGCACCTGGGATCCAGCACCTGGGATCCAGCACCTGGGTTCCGGCACCTGGGATCCAGCACCTGCACCTGGGATCCAGCACCTGGGATCCGGCACCTGGGATCCGGCACCTGGGATCCAGCACCTGGGATCCGGCACCTGGGTTCCGGCACCTGGGATCCGGCACCTGGGATCCGGCACCTGGGATCCAGCACCTGGGATCCGGCACCTGGGATCCGGCACCTGGGATCCGGCACCTGGGTTCCAGCACCTGGGTTCCAGCACCTGGGATCCAGCACCTGGGATCCGGCACCTGGGTTCCGGCACCTGGGATCCAGCACCTGGGATCCAGCACCTGCCAACGTGCACCAGCTTGGGGTAGCTCTTCAAGTGAAATAGAAGGCAATACTATGGGCAACTGAACGCAAGCGAATCAACAAGATGCTGTCCATGTGTTGTGCATCTATGACCCAACATGATGGACATACGACATATTGATTAATTACATACATGTATCATCTTTATACCTTTATCAAGTCTTGTGTTCACTTATTTATGTTGCTAGTAGATATTTAACCTTGGAATAAAATCGTGCAAGATTTTTGTCTGTTTGGTCAGGTGAAAACACCTATGTTCTGAAGGATGTAAAGGAATTGTGCCCATTAAAGGGTACAGTACCCTCTCACCAGTACCTCTGTGGACAGAACCAGTTTGTGTTGACTCAGTGACAGTTGGACCCCAGTAGCCTGGATCCCAGTAGTCTGTACCCCAGTAGCCTGGATCCCAGTAGTCTGTACCCCAGTAGCCTGGATCCCAGTAGTCTGTACCCCAGTAGCCTGTACCCCAGTAGCCTGGATCCCAGTAGTCTGGATCCCAGTAGCCTGTACCCCAGTAGTCTGTACCCCAGTAGTCTGTACCCCAGTAGCCTGTACCCCAGTAGCCTGTATCCCAGTAGTCTGTACCCCAGTAGCCTGTACCCCAGTAGCCTGGATCCCAGTAGCCTGTACCCCAGTAGCCTGTACCCCAGCAGTCTGTACCCCAGTAGTCTGTACCCCAGTAGTCTGTACCCCAGTAGCCTGGATCCCAGTAGTCTGGGTCCCAGTAGCCTGTACCCCAGTAGTCTGGATCCCAGTAGCCTGTACCCCAGTAGTCTGTACCCCAGTAGCCTGGATCCCAGTAGCCAGTAGCCTGTACCCCAGTAGTCTGGATCCCAGTAGTCTGTACTCCAGTAGCCTGCACCCCAGTAGCCTGGATCCCAGAAGTCTGTACTCCAGTAGCCTGCATCCCAGTAGCCTGTACCCCAGTAGCCTGCACCCCAGTAGTCTGCACCCCAGTAGCCTGCACCCCAGTAGCCTGTACCCCAGTAGCCTGGATCCCAGTAGCCTGGACCCCAGTAGCCTGTACCCCAGTAGCCTGGATCCCAGTAGTCTGGAACCTATTAGTTGTTATCTGATTAAACCTAACTGTCTACATGATATTTCGAGGGATATGTCTTCATACCCTCGGTTTGCTTATCCTGAGATTTGTATATATAATCTGGATGCTTATCAGTATGGTGTACAATGTCATATAGACACAGTAAAAGAGGTAACCCCCTCCAGGTGTGCTGCAGGAGGATTCTGAGGCTGGTGTACATGCACTCCCTCCACTGACACACTGATATTTATCATGTGCCCTCCGGAGAGATGAACATGTCTTATGCTGTAACAAATAGACCACTGACGTAAATATCCTTTTCTTTGTAGGTCGCAAGAGAGAGTGGTTTCCCTTGTGTGAGGCGAGGGAGCGGTTATTGCACAAGCCAGTGCAAGTCACCTACCTGGAACTACTCAAAGATCGACCTTTGGTGACCTGAGATTACTACATTCCAGCCTCCCTAGCACAAGATGTAAAGTTGCACGCTATGGACTGTACACTTCTTTTGATTGAACGATTATGACATGTTGATTGTCATGTGACTGAATTTATTAAGAAGATGTGTTTTCTGATTGGTTGCAGCCATTGATGGTTATTATGTATGTATTATATGGAGGTTTTAAGATACCTATGTGATATGGATAATTATTAAAGTCAGTATGTGTATATTGTTGAGTGACTGGTAAGAGAGTGAGGTGCCATCTTGGCGAGATTTAGTGTGTATAACAGTCCACAAGAAGAAATACCACTTGTGAACAGTGGAATAATTGGGAGAGAGGATTGGATTGTGCAGATTGTGATATAATCATATTGAACATATTTCCAGTACTGTTCCGATCTTTAAGGTGCTGCTAGTTGTAATACCAAACTCAGTCATCAGACAAGCTCGCTAACTGTCCCAACACAACACTGGGATGCATCTATTAAATGTATTTAGTTGATAAAAGGTTGCATCTGTCATTCTAATGAGACAAGCAAGATATCACAATGTCTATCCCGCGTAGTTTGAGCATCCTCACAAACTTGCTTGTTCCAGTACATGGGAGAAGACTGGACAGTATCGAGTCTGATGCCACTTTGTAGGGCTTCCTTCATATTTTCTGGATAAATGGACTTTATTCTGAATAATGAATTTTGAGAAAAGTTATGTTTCTGGTTGGGCTGTAGCCATTACGCCAATGATCATTCTGTGTGATGGAGTTGTCTCCCTTGCAGGATTGCAAGGCCTCTTGGCCTCGTACACTTTGTTTTGAAGATTTTTATTCTAAATCTAGTTTGACTCTGAAGGTTTGTAATGTTTCAACCACAATCCCACTTTACTTCTGAATGTATTGTGTGGGGGCATCCAGACCATTGCGTCCTTAATGTGACGATGATGTCGGATGGTGTTGCGGATGAGGTAACAAATCATTTTTTTTTTATAAATCTTTGTGGAAAACTCAGTATACCATGCCTCAGCTGCTTCGTGCACAACTATGTAACTGTCTTGCCTTCAAATACCTTTACTATGAGGAATGATAAACACATAGTGTTAATTTTTTAAGACATTTTGATACAAGATATTTTAAGACTTCACAATGGAAACAATGGAATTAATGAACATCTATTTTGCTACCTGTTTAGACTAGGACTTTTTCATGACTTTTCCAGATTTTCCAAGTTACCATGTGGAACTATACAATGCTCTGTGTTTGTATGAGAGAGAGTGCGTGTGAGAGAGAGATTTACATGCAGTATTTATTTACATTCAGACCAAGGATTGAGTATTCATTCATGCTGGTCATATTGACAACACGGTTTTTGAAGTGTATTTGTTTTCCTGGAATAAATGAGACCTAGTGATTTCACAGACAGAACTATTTATATTTACTGTTGGTGTTTGCCTTTGGGATTTGCCATGAACTGAGCAGCACGTTGAGTCACAGTCTCCTCTAGTGTAGTAAGGCCTCTATTCTAGTGAGCTGACAAACTTTAGAAATAAGTGTTATAAGTAATATTCTAAGACATGAAACCATTATTTACAGATGTTTTTTTTAATTGCTGTAAACATATACTTTGAGGCCAGTATATACAGAAGTTGCGAAAGGTATTTGGAGCAATCATAGATCCCTTTGATGACAGATTGGGTTGGATTCAATCAGGTGCTATATATACACTCTGGAAGACAGGGTGATGTACCAACCGTTACTCTGTGTTACTCTAGGCAGGAGCCAGTACAACAATATAAAGATCACTATCTGTACTGCTTTTGAATTTTTTTTTATGTTAATGATGTGGTGAAAACCCCTGGGAAAAGTAGAACATTGACTGTGTGTTAGACAGGGTGTTAAACCCCACTGTACATTGGACACCAGCGTGGACCTTGTTGCTTAAACTGGTCATGTTGGGATGCAGACCAGCAGAGAGACCAACAGACAAGCAGACAGAACAAAAGACCAGCAGACAGACCAACAGACCAAAAGACAGACAGACCAGCAGACAGACCAGCAGACAATACTGACTCATGTCTGTTTTAAGTGGTTACTTACATCCCACATCATGCCACTGTGGGAAATCTCAAAATCTTGCAACGCCTTGCAACATCTCCTGGCCCTTGTTACTGGCACACATTCTGCAACATCCCCTGGTCCCTGTGACTGGCACACATTCTGCAACGTCCCCTGGTCCCTGTGACTGGCACACATTCTGCAACGTCCCCTGGTCCCTGTACCCGGCACACATTCTGCAACGTCCCCTGGTCCCTGTGACTGGCACATGTTCTGCAACATCCCCTGGTCCCTGTACCCGGCACACATTCTGCAACATCCCCTGGTCCCTGTACCCGGCACACATTCTGCAACATCCCCTGGTCCCTGTACCCGGCACATATTCTGCAACATCCCCTGGTCCCTGTGACTGGCACATGTTCTGCAACATCCCCTGGTCCCTGTGACTGGCACACGTTCTGCAACATCCCCTGGTCCCTGTGACTGGCACACATTCTGCAACATCCCCTGGTCCTTGTGACCTGCACATGTTCTGCAACATCCCCTGGTCCCTGTGACTGGCACATGTTCTGCAACATCCCCTGGTCCCTGTGACTGGCACACATTCTGCAACATCCCCTGGTCCTTGTGACCTGCACATGTTCTGCAACATCCCCTGGTCCCTGTGACTGGCACACATTCTGCAACATCCCCTGGTCCCTGTACCCGGCCCACATTCTGCAACATCCCCTGGTCCTTGTGACTGGCACACATTCTGCAACATCCCCTGGTCCCTGTGACTGGCACGCATTCTGTGACTGGCACATATTCTGCAACATCCTGGTCCCCATCATTCTGGTCCCTATGACTGGCACGCATTCTGCAACATCCCCTGGTCCCTGTGACTGGCACGCATTCTGCAACATCCCCTGGTCCCTGTGACTGGCACACATTCTGCAACATCCCCTGGTCCCTGTGACTGGCACACATTCTGCAACATCCCCTGGTCCCTGTGACTGGCACATATTCTGCAACATCCCCTGGTCCCTGTGACTGGCACATGTTCTGCAACATCCCCTGGTCCCTGTGACTGGCACATGTTCTGCAACATCCCTGGTGTACCCGCCCACATTCCCTGTGACTGGCACATATTCTGCAACATCCCCTGGTCCCTGTGACTGGCACATGTTCTGCAACATCCCCTGGTCCCTGTGACTGGCACATATTCTGCAACATCCCCTGGTCCCTGTGACTGGCACATGTTCTGCAACATCCCTTGGTCCCTGTGACTGGCACACATTCTGCAACATCCCCAGATCACTGTGACCATGTTGAGGAATGAGATTTGAGGAAACACGGATGAAAATCTTAAGGTAACATAGTAGAAAGCTTCCATGTGTGTCTGGGGTCCAGTTTACAGGGGAGTCCAGTCTACTGGAGGCTCCAGTCTACAGTGATGTCCAGTCTACAAGGGTGTCCAGTTTACAGGGGGGTCCAGTCTACAGTCATGGCCAGTCTACAAGGGTGTCCAGTTTACAGGGGGGTCCAGTCTACAGTCATGTCCAGTCTACAAGGGTGTCCAGTTTACAGGGGGTCCAGTCTACAGTCATGTCCAGTCTACAAGGGTGTCCAGTTTACAGGGGTTCCAGGCTACTGGAGGCTCCAGTCTACAGTCATGTCCAGTCTACAAGGGTGTCCAGTTTACAGGGGGGTCCAGTCTACAGTGATGTCCAGTCTACAAGGGTGTCCAGTCTACAACGGTGTCCAGTTTACAGGGGGGTCTCCCATCTGTGTAGTGGTCAGGCCTGTCTTCCTTCTTGACACCTGTCATGTAGTGTCTTAAAGCAACATGGATAATTTAAGCCGTCCTGCTTACAGGTCAATCTGTATTCTCTTTTTAATGGATGAAATTGATCCATCATTAGGATTCAAATAAGACTATCAGTTTTTCAGTATATGCTTAGTTGTATTTTCAGAAATAAGAACTATGAGAATCTGCACATTGGTTTTCCTAGTCTGCATATGAACTTCACTGTTGATTGTTTAGTTTTGAATGAAGAGCTTTAAGACGTCGCTGTGATGCTTCTGCTGCTGTAATATCCTACGTCATGGTACTTTGGGGATATTGTAACACTGACAGCTTGTTAACGAAACAAATTCAGGTCTGGTTTGTTTGTGTGAGAGACATGAGATTTGGATTTGTTCTGATATATTTATATCTCAATCTATACCTGTACATCTACCTGTAGATCTATACCTGTGTAATTACCTGTACATCTACCTGTAGATCTATACCTGTGTAATTACCTGTACATCTACCTGTAGATTTGTACCTGTGTAATTACCTGTACATCTACCTGTAGATTTGTACATGTGTAATTATCTGTACATCTACCTGTAGATTTGTACCTGTGTGTATGCTAGGGTATCTACTGGTAGTTGTGTACCTGTGTCTATACCTGTACATGGACCTCTATATTTTACCTTAAAATCTACCTGTAGATATGTTATTGTACATTTGCCTGTAGATTCTTACCTGCACATCTACCTGTAGGTTTGTACCTGTGTAATTACCTGTACATCTACCTGTAGGTTTGTACATGTGTAACTACCTGTAGATTTGTACCTGTGTAATTACCTGTACATCTTGTACATGTGTAATTACCTTACATTGACCTGTAGATTTGTACCTGTGTAATTATCTGTACATCTACCTGTAGGTTTGTACCTGTGTAATTACCTGTACATCTACCTGTAGGTTTGTCCTGTGTAATTACCTGTACATCTACCTGTAGGTTTGTACCTGTGTAATTACCTGTACATCTACCTGTAGATTTGTACCTGTGTAATTACCTGTACATCTACCTGTAGGTTTGTACATGTGTAATTACCTGTACATTGACCTGTAGATTTGTATCTGTGTAATTATCTGTACATCTACCTGTAGGTTTGTACCTGTGTAATTACCTGTACATCTACCTGCATCTATATAACTGTGTGTGTAACTACCTGTGAATTTGTACCTGTACATTATCACCTTGGAGAGCTTGCTGTGTGAAAGTATGTGATGTGCTGTATATTTATGTCACTGTTGTGGATTAGAGTGAACATTCTTCCTAACCAGTTGTATTTATATACTTGACTGTACAAAGAGATATGTACTTTATTCTATTTACAATTGCTCGGTTTTGAGGTGAACTATTCAAGTTTGGTGTATTTATATGAGCCTGTTCACATGAGAGCCACTTTGTCTAATGTCTGTTCATGCTGACAATATTACTGTTGCCAGGAAATGGCCACACTGTCTTTGAATTTCAGATCAACTGTTTGATTAACACGTGTATACTGATGGCATTAAGTAAGGGAACACCAATACTGGAGTGGAGGTTACTAGCTGTATCCATGATGAAACTGGTTCACCTGTTGATATGCAACACAAACTTAGCACTTTTAGACGACAGTCGATGGCCAGTTACAATCTGTATCATATCCAGCTACAGGTGCACATGCTAAACAAGCAGTTAAACATTTAACATTAAGATACACGATTGCCTCCTAAATTTGTTTCAAGCAAAAATAATTACAAAAAACACTGCTGATAATCAATTTTGTTGTATGTTTACTCACACATGGCTGACTACTCTCCACATGTTCCCGTATCTTCACCCAACAGCTTGACTACTTCTAAACACTTTCAGCTTAACATTCAACCGTACAAACAATGCCCCTGCTCTGTCATGGTGGCAAGTTGATATATGCACCAAAGTTTGCCATCAGATGGCGCCACCATCACTATTGTATGCGTGCTGTCCTAGAGGGAGATTCACTGCTCAACACACGCCATTATACAAACACACCAACTGGAACCGTCCTGGCTCCCCTAGTACTCCATTGTTTCCACTCTACCTGCTGTGATATGACTGTTATCAAGGGTTATAACATCATAACTGTTATAAAAGATTACCATCCAGAAAGTGGGTGATAAATGCTTATTTTCATATCCTTGATTTAATTAATATATATAATCAATATATATCACTTATTGAAATATTATTAATCAGAAAAAGGATGGGGAGCTTAATAGCACAAAGTGTCATTAGTTTAATCAGATATGTTGATAAGCTTCATATTGCTCAAGAAGAAGTTGCCAATAGATTTATTGAGTAGCTAGGACACCAGGTGTCCTGAGTCCAACAAACATATAGATCTGTAGCCAGCTGAGTGTAGACACTGGACATTCTTGTCATATGAGACACATTAGAAGCGTGCTGCTGAGTCCAGTGGTAATGGGTGGACAACACACCTTGGTGTGCCCAATTAGCAGTAGCTAGAAGTGATCATAAAATCAAACCCTAAGGTCATTGAGTACTTTGGGAGTAACGGTATGAAGGCCCTCGTACATCAGCTGTAGCCCACCTGGTGGTGGGCAGGTAAATGTACAGGTAGGTAGTACAGTATATAGTCAGGTCAATGATGGGGCAGATTTCATGGCAGTAAAGTGTATAGACAACATCCAGTAAGGGACAGATCATTTTACAGGTGGTACAGTTTACAGTTAGAACGATTATGGGGCAGATGAATCTACAAGTAGTACAGTTTATTGTTAGGCCAATTATGGGGCAGATAAATTTTCAGGCAGTAAGTTTTTTTGGTTACACCACTTAAGTGGCAGATCAATTAACATGTAGATAAATGTTAATAGTTGTTATATGAGGTGTGTTCAAGAGCAGACAAGGTTATTGTAGGGTGGTAAGGTTAGGAATTACAGAGGCATCACAGGTGTCTGTTGATTCATCATCAGAGCAGGTACTCTTTTTGTTGTCACAGGTATGGAGGTACGCCATGATTCCGTTCCCCTGCTTTGCTGTATTATTTCAATTTAAATATATTTAATATGCCATTTTGAAATAATATTTCACAGTATCAATTAAATTTTGGTTTTGCCCTTTTAGAATGTGCATTTTAGCTTGCTGCATATCAAATCACATATCTCCACTTCGCAGCCTGGTATATTGTCTGAATTTCCAGGGTATCAGTATGTCCAGTGGATGAAGTTGGGATGGATTTTGAATTCCCTGTTTTTCTAGAAATATTTTATGAACAAGTTTCAAACATATTTGTATAAAACTCTTTGCATATTGATGTGAACTTTTCCAAAAATGCATCTAACTTCATGCCTTTAATGACACAAAGTGTTTTGCTGAGACCAGGGATTACTCGGCGGAGTTACTGCCCCTTAGTTTCCTGGCCATTGTTTTGTATGTTCATGGAAGACCAGTTCCTGTTTATTCTCATGTACTAGCTGATGATGAAACATTTCAAATATATACCTTCAGTTGGAAACGCTTTGCGTTAATAAGTTATTTCAATTGACACCATTTGCAGTATAGTGTAAAGTTCAGATCTCTGTTTGATTTTGTACATATACAACAAAGGAACAACATCTGCTTCGTGTGCTACCGGTAGTTGTAGTGACAATCAGTTGATCTTCCCTTGACAACCCCGGGTAGCACCGTTACAGGCAGGTCACTCCATGGAGGAGGAATGTCTGTGTGGAGGCTTCATATATTTCCACAGTATTGTTGTATAGTATGATACTGTGCTAGTCACAGTATTGTTATACAGTATGATACTGTTCTAATCACAGTATTGTTATATAGTATGATACTGTGCTAGTCACAGTATTATTATATAGTATGATACTGTTCTAATCACAGTATTGTTATATAGTATGATACTGTTCTAATCACAGTATTGTTATATAGTATGATACTGTGCTAGTCACAGTATTGTTATATAGTATGATACTGTTCTAATCACAGTATTGTTATATAGTATGATACTGTGCTAGTCACAGTATTGTTATATAGTATCATACTGTACTTATCACAGTATTGTTATACAGTATGATACTGTGCTGAATACGGTATATGGTATGTGCTAATGACAGTCCTATGTAACTATGTCCTTGGCCAAAAATAAGAAACATTTTATTGTGATTCTTTGTGTGAATGAAATATCTCCTTTTCCAGGAGAAAATATTATCTAAAGATAATACTTACTGGAGTCCCACAGAATAACATACATGTATTATGGTGTTTTTGTGTGCATTCAATATTTAGTCTGACCAAGTCACAACAAGCCAGGTTATTATTACTAAAAGTCATTGTGTATATGTATTACTTTTTGTGTTAGAGACAACACTTTTGCCAAAAACCTGATAAGGCAAGGTTATTTGTGATTACTTTCCTTATAATTAAGTGGAATTATGTTTTGATTAACTGTGCTCTTTCAGAATATATTATGCACACAAAATGCCTGCCAACAAATAGTGTTATCCAACAACTAGTGGATATAAAACACTGTTCAGTTTTCAAGTGCCAATCATGAAATAAAACAAACTGTGCAGAGACATTGTGTTGTGTTGCTTTGTTTTCTAAAATCTGTGTTCAGAATTCAGACTGGAGCGGGCGGTGGGGTAGCCTAGTAGTTAAAGGGTTCGCTCGTCACACCGAAGACCCAGGTTCGATTCCCCACATGGGTACAATGTGTGAAGCCTTTTCTGGTGTTACCCGCCGTGATATTGCTGGAAAAAAACGCGGCGTAAAACTAAACTCACTCACTCACTCAGAATGGAAAGTCATGCTTCATGCGTCATGTATGGCAGCGGTCTGTAAATAATCGAGTCTGGACAAGACAATCCAGGGATCAAGAGCATGAACATCGATCTACGACATTAATTAACCCAGTCAGCGAGCCTGACCACCTGTTTCCCGTTAGTCGCCTCTTACAACAAGCATGGGTTTCTGAAGATCAATTCTAACCCGGATCTTCACAGGTTATGTGGCGTCAGGCAGAGCAGGCCTCTACGGTCTGCGATATTACTCTGCATTCAGATTCCAGGTACCCTGTGCGTGTCTCCCTGTGGTTTGTTAGGGCGGAACAGGTCTCCAGTACCCGGTGTGTCTTCCCGTGGTGCTGTCATATTTCTTGGATATACAATGATGTGCGATAAGTATGTCATAAAATGGCCGCCATGTTTAGGGGCAAAACTTATAGAGGGTCACAGAAAAGTAGAAATTAAACTTTACTTACCACTAAAATACCCTTCGGATGCCTAATACTTTGTGATGTGACCTTTATTTATCCTCACAGTTCTTATTCTTCTTGGAATAGATGAGTATAGTGCCTGACTATGATGCAGAGGTATTGACTGCCAAATCCTGATAATCTGCTGAAAAACTTCCTCCTTTGATTTGATGGTGTGTGAAACTCTCTGTAGCCTGATTTTGATCAGCAACCAGAGATTTTCTATGATGTTCAAGCCTGGTGATTGTGATGGCCATGATAAACATTTGATTTCATTCATAGTTTTCCAATCTTTTGTAAAACGAGACTCGTGGCAAGGGGCATTGTCATCTTGGAAAAGATAATCACCATTTGTGAAGTGTTTGGCTATGACAGGAAAACAGATTTTCGTCCAAAATAGATACATACTTCTAACTGTTGATGTTACCATCAACTTGGACCAGTGTACCAGCTCTCAGATAGCCCTCCCCTTTGCTGAATTCAGGGCACCTGCTGCCAACACAATATGGTCTGTACTCCTCACCAGGCATTCTCCAAACAGACATTTTGTTATTTTTCCCATGAACAATTTGACTCTCATCACTAAATATCACTTTGGACCAATTAGTTTGAGTTTTCCAATGAAAATGTGTCCTACACCATGACAGTCTCTTGTATGTGTTCATAGCATTTACTGTCAATTTCTTCCTCACTAATCTTTTCCTGTAATTCAGCTTGTGGAGATGTCTTTGAACAGTCCTCTTACTTACTTTAGTTGGTAATGCCTCATTTACAATACATGTAATATCCCCAAGTGTATTTGACAGTTCTCAAAAGTGTTCTGTCTCCCCTCTCTATCAAGACTGGGGGCCTACCACGTCAAGGCATGTTCTCGACATTATTTTCCACTTGAACTCTCTTTAAAAACTAGGAAATGGTGCTTTGATCCATCTGGACGGCATCTGCAATGTTTGCCTGTTTAAATCCAGCTAAATTCATCTCAAGAATGATTTTCCTGACCTCATCTGACAAGTTTTTCCTTCTCTTCCCATTTGGAGAAGTTGACCTTGAACTTGTTTACATTAAGCAGACGACGAGAGTTACTCCCCCTACATTACCTGTGACCCCTGAAAATGTACCCTGTGAAATTTGATCCCCATCATTTTTCTAGCTTGAGCGCACCAAGCTTTTTAACTTGACCCCCACCTATTAGTATTACTCACCGCTGACTGTCGGCCATTTTATGACATAATTATGGCCCATCACTGTAGCTAAAGACGGTGTAAATCTAAACTAACTCACTCTTCGTGTGGTTATTGTGTGTCTCCAGCACCCTCCATGTGTACTTAGAGGCAAAATCTATTGTCACATGGATATTGGTAATCTTGTGAATGAAGTTTTGGATTTGAACCGAGAGAGTGTGGTAAATGTCGAAGAAGAAACGTAACCAAGCAGTTGTTCAAACTGCACGAAATTTGCAAGAGTCAGGATATATTCGAGAAAGGCCAGACAACCCGAGTCTTGCCATTTCCCCTTAGTGCAGGGTCTTAAGAAGCGCAGAAGTAGAAAGCACACACTTGTGTTCATCGTTCTGGAACAAGTTTCACATGCCACGCCTCGGGCAAAACGTCAGATAGAAAGCTATGGATATGGCTCGGTCTGGAACCTCGCAGCGTGACGTTGCTCGTCGACTCAACGTTCTTAGAAAGCCCATTTGGCACTAATGGCGACGTTTCCAGCAAAACAAGTTACAGACTGTCCTGGTAGTGGCAGCACACGTGTAACTGCCCCAGGATGCGATCCGCGCGCTTCTGACACAGGTTCCAGCCAACAACCTGTACAACCAATACCATACTATACCTGGCGACGCAGGTGTATCTGCAAGAACAGTTCGTAAACGTTTTGGCGTCTACAGCGTCTGTGCAAGACGTCCACCCCGACGGCCTATTCTAAAGCAACAACATCGACGTTGTCATCTCAAGTTCAGCTGACAACAATTGAAATTGAAAGCACGGGACCGGAGACAATTTCTCTTCCTGTTGTTTCTGTTGGGTTACTGTGATGTTGAAAAAATATTGTCAGCAATAGACCACTGTGATGGAGAAATAAGATAGTATAAACATGAATTATCCTTGTCGACTACAAGTCGAGGTGGTGGAGAAGTGACACAGTAGACAACAGTATCCAAACTCGTAGATCGGTGCTCATGCAGTTGATCACTGTATTGTCTAGTCCGGAATCGAAATTTTACAGACCGCCCACATATAGCTGTAATATTGCTGAGTGCGGCGTTAAACAACAAATCAACCCACCAACTAGTATTGTTGACTACAGGTCGAGGTGGTGGAGATAGAACAACCAACAAACCAACCAACTAGTATTGTTGACTACAGGTCAAGGTGGTGGAGATAGAACAACAAACCAACCAACCAACCAACCAACTAGTATTGTTGACTACAGGTCGAGGTGGTGGAGATATAACAACCAACCAACCAACCAACTAGTATTGTTGACTACAGGTCGAGGTGGTGGAGATATAACAACCAACCAAGCAACCAACCAACTAGTATTGTTGACTACAGGTCGAGGTGGTGGAGATAGAACAACCAACAAACCAACCAACTAGTATTGTTGACTACAGGTCGAGGTGGTGGAGATAGAACAACAACCAACCAACCAACTAGTATTGTTGACTACAGGTCGAGGTGGTGGAGATAGAACAACCAACCAACCAACCAACTAGTATTGTTGACTACAGGTCGAGGTGGTGGAGATATAACAACCAACCAACCAACCAACTAGTATTGTTGACTACAGGTCGAGGTGGTGGAGATATAACAACCAACCAACCAACCAACTAGTATTGTTGACTACAGGTCGAGGTGGTGGAGATAGATAGACAAACAACCAACCCACCAACTAGCAAACCAACCAACCAACTAGTATTGTTGACTACAGGTCGAGGTGGTGGAGATAGAACAACTAACCAACCAACTAGTATTGTTGACTACAGGTCGAGGTGGTGGAGATATAACAAACCAACCAACCAACTAGTATTGTTGACTGCAGGTCGAGGTGGTGGAGATATAACAACCAAGCAACCAACCAACTAGTATTGTTGACTACAGGTCGAGGTGGTGGAGATAGAACAACCAACCAACCAACTAGTATTGTTGACTACAGGTCGAGGTGGTGGAGATAGAACAACCAACCAACCAACTAGTATTGTTGACTACAGGTCGAGGTGGTGGAGATATAACAACAAACCAACCAACCAACTAGTATTGTTGACTACAGGTCGAGGTGGTGGAGATAGAACAACCAACCAACCAACTATCGAGGTGGTGGAGATAGAACAACCAACTAGTATTGTTGACTACAGGTCGAGGTGGTGGAGATAGAACAACCAACCAACCAACTAGTATTGTGGTGGAGATAGAACAACCAACCAACCAACTAGTATTGTTGACTACAGGTCGAGGTGGTGGAGATAGAACAACCAACCAACCAACCAACTAGTATTGTTGACTAAGGTATTGTTGAACAAACCAACTAGTATTGTTGACTACAGGTCGAGGTGGTGGAGATATAACAACCAACAAACCAACTAGTATTGTTGACTACAGGTCGAGGTGGTGGAGATAAAACAACAAACCAACCAACTAGTATTGTTGACTACAGGTCGAGGTGGTGGAGATAGAACAACCAACCAACCAACCAACTAGTATTGTTGACTACAGGTCGAGGTGGTGGAGATATAACAACAAATCAACCAATTGTTGACTACAGGTCGAGGTGGTGGAGATATAACAACCAACCAACCAACCAACTAGTATTGTTGACTACAGGTCGAGGTGGTGGAGATAGAACAACCAACCAACCAACTAGTATTGTTGACTACAGGTCGAGGTGGTGGAGATAGAACAACAAACCAACCATCCAACTAATATTGTTGACTACAGGTCGAGGTGATAATGCAGCCTCTTTGTTAATAACAATGCAACTATTCGCAGGGTAAAAGTTTGTTCTTTTACTTTCATCCGGAGTCTAACGGAGAGACCGTTTGGTAGCCATTAGTGTAAACCAAGCTCGTGCTGTGAATTAAGCACTGTGAGAATCGAGCAAGTAGATGAGCGTTCGAAATAAATATTTGATGGGTCTGACACGGAAGGCTACTGCTGCCGACGTGTCTGGGACATAATTATTTTCCTTAAGAGTAAATACTCAGAAGTATAACATGTTGAACTGATCGTGGTGTATATTGGTATTATCACACCGCAGCTGACTGGCGGACACGGGTCGGAATCACAAGTGAGAAAATAATATACCAGACAATTGTGTAGA